GAGGGATTAACCTGAGAGCTCGCAGTCCAATGTGAGGGATTCAATTTGGGAGCCGCAGTCCAGAGGGATTTAAACGGGGCTTGCAGTCCGAAGAGAGGGATTTAAACAGAGCTCGTAGTCCAGAGAGGGATTTAAAGAGAGCCTGCAGGCCAAAGTGAGGGATTAAACTGAGATCTTGCAGTCCAATGTGAGGAATAACGGAGCTTGCAGTCAGAGTGAAGGATTTAAACGGAGCTTGGTTAAGAGAGCCTGCAGAACAATGCGAGGGCTTTAAACTGAAGCTTGCCCACCAATGCACGGGGCCAACTGAGCCTGCAGTACAAGCGCGGGGCCAACTGAGCCTGCAGAACAATGCGAGGGGAATAAACCGTCCGCAGATCTCATACTTACCCACGACGCCAGAAGACAAGGGACAACACAACGGGACCACGCCGTACCGGCACGAGGAGGCAGGGATCCGCACAGCTCCCACCGCACCGGTCCAGACCGGCCGTATGCAGCAGCAGGCCGCGACGAGACGAGCAGCGGCGAACCCGCAGAAAGAGCCCGCAAGGAGGAGAGCGGCAAAGACCCACGGACCACAGCACGAGACCCGCAGCAGGTGCAGCGACGCGGAGGAGGAGCAGACCACACGCTGCAAGACAGAGGACAGCAGGGACACATGCAACGAGTAAGCGTGAGTAGACAAAGCGATTCCTCCAGAACGATTCTTTGCAGGCTTCGAGAAGGCCGAGAGTGGGAGTTTCTCCGCTTTTAAGCGGCTTGCCTGGCCGGTACGGTGATTGGAAGGGGGCGTTTGCTGTGCGATAGGCTGGGGATGAGAACCGGCCTGGAGGGGTTACCTTTGGCTGACGTCTACCAAATTGAATTTGGCTGCATTTCCCTGGATGCAGTTGTTTAAGATCTATTTATGCATGATTGAGTAATATACTGTCTTTCTATTAGTGATGGGGGAATCGATTCTGGTCAGTTTCTTGATATTTTGTGCATGGAAATAATCAATCAATACAGTAAAACAAAGCATAATTAAATCATCTGTTTTTGTGTTTTCTCCGAGTTTACCTCAGAGGTTTATGCAAGTAGTTTATGTAATCTCTATGATGTTACTGTTCTGTTATTCTAGTTTATTGTATTTGAGTAATGTAGGTGATGTGCTCGGAGCTCACCATTCATGTGAGGGTCGTCTGCTCAGAGAATAATGATGTCTTGTCTCTTATAAACTCCTGAGTCCTGAATGTTTAAGGATAACGTTTTTGCTCTACTCTTTGTGTTTTCTTCAGTTCAAGTGCAGACCATAATAAAATGACAGATGAGTTGAGCAGTCTTATTTTTCAAAATGTTTGTAATGTTCAATATTTGCTGTATCACAAAATGTTAAGAATCACAACAATATTGAATTGTGGCCAAACAGATCGTCACATTTTTGCCAATTCCAACCTCTACTTTCTCTGCAAGATCTGATTTCCCTCCTCTGACTCCCTCGATCTCGGTCATCCAGCCTCACTAGAAAAAAAACCTTCACCAAACTTTTTCCCCCTTTGTAAAATCCTGTCTTTTATTCTACTCGGGAGACTTCTTCTATTGTTGTGTCTTTCCTTCCAAACATTGAGAAGGCGTATTCTTCCTTCCTCCTTCTATTATGGGAAAAGAAAGTGTGATTTCTATTTTGGTTCTTGCAACATGTCTTTTTGTGCTTTTCACAGCATTGTTCCTTCAAATACAAATCAAATACAGACCAAATGCAGACCTGGGGTGTTTTAGACCTGGGGGTACACAGTTGGAAGGCATTGATAGAGGAATGAGAGGTGATCTTGTGGGCTCTGACTGATGCTAGTGGTAGGTCTACGAAAGTGAGAGGTCTATGAAAGTGAGGGGTCTATGGAAGTGAGGGGTCTATGGAAGTGAGGGGTCTATGGAAGTGAGGGGTCTATGGAAGTGGTGGGTCTGTGGAAGGTCTTTGGAAGTGGTGGGACGGTGGAAGTGGTGGGTCTATGGAAGTGAGGGGTCTATGGAAGTGGTGGGTCTGTGGAAGTGAGGGGTCTATGGAAGTGGTGAGTCTTTGGAACAGAGGGGTTTACCTGGGAATCCCTCTGCAGCTCTGCAAAACAGCCTGGAAACTCGAGCCACATTTTTTGCATGGATTTGGGGACCTGTCACAGAACGGGGAGAGACAGCAAGTATTTGTAGTTTGTTACAGATCCAGCAGGTGGGAGCAGACGCAAAGCTATCTTCCCTCAGGATTAACATGCACAAACGGTAGAAATTATTCGGCTCCATTGTATAAACAATGGAGCCGAACCTTTTTTCTTCTCACCGTAATCGGGTGGAAGTAATAAATGAACAACTATGACTATACAACTATAGACCATTGTGGACCACACCTTTACTACGGGAAAATGAATGAACGGTTCCCAGATGACATATTATCTTACATATGCTTGGTTGAAATGGGATTGGACTGTCAATGATTGGCTGTAGGGTTTTCTGAATGAATGAGACCGATAGCAGCAAAGACACATCCATCCACACAAACAAAAGATGTGTGGCTTTGTTAGATAGATCTAGATTGATAGATCTATTGATAGATACTTGACGTACAGACCATGATGTCTTAAACATGTATAAACAAAAGTATTTCTTTAAATTAGTCAACAATATGGGCCCTCAATCAATGCCAAGTGAGATTTAGATCTAAATCTTGCCTAAGATAGAAGGCAATGTCATCTCTTTCTAAAGCAAAGGAAGGTTTCTCACCCATCATCTGTACTTCTTAGCAGCTTTTCCCGACGTTTCGTCCTCAATCGTACACATTCCACTCTTTACAAATATGGGCCCTCAATTAATGCCACGTGAGATATAGATCTAAATCTTGCCTACTGTAAGACAGAAGGCAATGTCATCTCTTTCTAAAGCAAAGGAAGGTTTCCCTGAAGAAGTCCTTTGGATTGAGGACGAAACGTCGGGAAAACCTGCTAAGAAGTACAGATGATGGGTGAGACCCCTTCCTTTGCTTTGACTAATCCCTGTACAACTGAGGGCTTACACAAACTTATCTCTTTCTAAATGTTTAAGGATTTTTCATGTTTTTCAGGTTTTTCTATGCAATTATTCACATTCTTAATCATGAAAGAAAACAGTGACAATCCAGGACGTTTACGGATTTTTTTTTACATTTATGGACATTGGTCATAACAATCCTATGTGTTTGTTATTATTAAATTTTATCTGTGTTCAAACTGTTTGATTCTCTGATCTGTGGTTGGCGAATCAACAAAAGTCCTCGGAGACGACAATTGAATTAAATAGCCCCATAGATAGAGAGATGGATGGATGGATGGCTGGATGGACGGATGGATGGATGGACGGATGGATGGATGGACGGATGGATGGATGGCTGGACGGATGGATGGATGGACGGATGGACGGATGGATGGATGGACGGACGGATGGATGGATGGATAGATGGTTGAATGAATGGATGGAGGGATAGATGGTTGATGGATGGGTAGATGGTTGGATGGATGGATGAATGGATATATGGTTGTTTGGAGGGATGGCTGGATGAATAGATAGATAGAAAGATAGATTTCCAATCGGTTAAAAATCTAGAAAAAATACCAATAGTTCACGAAAACACTCATTTATTTTTCTGCAGTTTAAACATTAATGAATTGTTTTTCTCGTATGTCAGCCTTGTGCTCCGGCTCGTCATCAGCAGAGCAGCGATTTTACCTTTATTACTACTTGAGCGATTCATCTGTGTCTGATAAATGCCACCTGCTCAGTTCTTTCATGTTTGATTATACGCTTTGAGTTTTCTACTTCACTGCTGTTATATTTACAACCCAACACAAAGTGCCACGACGAGCCCTGAAAATGTAATTACTATATTGAGGAGCTCTGAACATAAACACCACGCTGCAATTAGTTGTGAAAGGTGTCACAGATGTGCTTTTGACAGAAGTCTGGAGTTTGACGGCCATTTTCTTTGTCGTCTTTGTAAACTTTTCTCTCATTTCGCTACGTTCCAGATCACAGCATGACAGCGACAACGAAAGATGCTTTTAGTTTTGTGTTTTTCTTTGAGACTTTGTTGATTCAAATTATATGTACTGGGTTAGAGTCTTCATATGTACCTGTGTGGAAAAGCCAGAGCCTGTCAGACCTCGGAAACTAAGCAGGGCAGGGCCTGGTTAGTACTGTGATGGGAGACCTCTGGGAACACCAGGTGCAACAGTGGGGTATCTGCGGCTGTAGAGTGCCAAACTATTCTGTTGTTGTGTGCATAGGCAAGACACTTCAGCCACATTGTCTAAAATGCATCTGGTGTGTGGTGGTGGTCAGATGGGCCGATGGCACAGACTGGTTGCCTTGCTTCTGTCAGTGTTCCCCAGTGCAGCTATGGCTACAGTAGTAGTGTTTGGAGGGAAAGAATAATGACGTCTGAAGCGTTTTTGAGTGTCCTGTAAAGTGCTATATAAAACAGATATAATATTATGTTATGTTAATTTTATGTTTTCAGGTTTGTCTGTATGTTACCCTGAAAGTTATGGGCACATTTTCATCATGATATTTACAGGAAATCACTAAAATGAGACAATAGCTCCGTTTCCACCAGCTCGACTCGGCCCTACTCTCTCCTCTCCCCTTCCCTCCTCTCTCCTCCTCTCCCCTCCTCTCTCCTCCCCTCCTCTCCCCTCCTCTCTCCTCCTCTCCCCTCCTCTCCTCTCCTCTACCCTACTCTACTCTACCTCGATTGGGAGCGATTCCACTAGCTTTATTTAACCGGTACTAGGTCACAAAAGTCCATATATGGCACCCATTTAGCTGTGGTGTGAATCAATATAGATGGATAGATACTTTATTAATCCCCTGTATCGTGTGGGAGAAAAGAACCATATCTGAACTCTGTAAAGCGCTTCAGGTGACCTTGGTCTGTAAAATGCGCTGTATAAATAAAGGTTACTTCCTTACTTACTGATTATTTTACTCTGATGCAGGCTTCTGATGGACAACCAGATCAACATCGTTCCGGAGAACACCTTCCAGTCCCTGTGGAAACTCGCAGAACTGTGAGTGCCTTCATTATTCACGGACAAATCAGCCGCAGCAGCAAACTGTTTCCATCGCTGTTTCTTTATCTCTTTCGCCCGCAGTAACCTGTCCAGTAATCGCATCAGAGAGCTTCCTAAAAACACCTTCAAGAGCCTGGCCAAGTCGCTGCTCAAACTGTGAGTAAAAAAACTATGAGAGATATCAGAACCTTTCCTCTTTGACAAACACATACTAACACACAATGACAGTACAGTATATTCTTTGTGTTTATTGCTGCGTCTTGTTACTCTAAAAGTCAATAAAATAGAATCAATATATGTTTGGCCTAATACAAGCTTACAGGAACAGCCTTTTTATTATTGTTTAATTAATTTTTCTTTTTCTATCCAATCCTTGATCGATAACCGAGGCCCCTCTAACTATTCTAACTATTCTCCTTCAGCAAATATTATTGAGGATCAATCAATCAATCAAAATGTATATTTATAGCACAGTTCATACAGATTGCAACGCAAAAGTGCTTTACATTGAAAACATTTAAAACCAAAAGTATGTGAATTATGACACACTGTAAAACTCATACGAAAGGCCATTTAAAAACAACAGTATAAAACTAAACAATGGCTGTGACTAAAAATAAGTCATAACCACAGCTGAAAAGAATTGTTTTCAGCCTAGACTTGAATATAGCTCCAGGGTAGAGGCCTGTCTCGCTCCTTCAGGAAGATTGTTTAGTTTAGTTTGTTATTGTTTGTCACATACACATTCCATGCAGTGAAATCCTTATGTACTGTATAGCAGAAGGGACAAAACTTAGGACAAAACTTAAAATTCTGTATCTGCTTCCTGAGATGGACTGATGGACCTTCACCTTGTTGCAGACCAGCTTTGAAAACATGAGTACATTCACAACAATACGGCCTGAATCCCAGCGCTGTCTACAAACAAGGCTTTCATTTTTTTAATAGCCTTTTTAAAGAAAAGTGCCGTTTATTTCTGTCCAACATTATTCTTACGTCCTGTTGTGGTGATTGTATAAACTGGCAGATTTGGGCAGTTCACCGTGTTCCACAGCACAATGCCACTGCCTTGAAGATTGAAAAGAAAATTCAACACAAAAAGAAGTAAATGCCAGAACTGATTCAATGTGTGGAGGGCCCCTGTGAGCGAGTCTGAAGCGGTGGGAAGCGTCGGCATTGAGAAAAAACAGAAAAGCACTGATTGGATTTGTGTTTCTCTCAATATTGGTGTTTGTTTGTGTGATATTTGCTGATGGATAATACAAAAGAGAACAACGTCTTGGCATTTATCAGCTCTGGCAACAGCCCTGTTCTCTCATTATTCAGAAACTCTTCTATACATTACACCTGCCATGTTCAACTTGTGGCACAGGAGCCAAATCGGGTCCTCTAAACACTTTGCTCCGGTCCTCAGCACATGTACAAAAGAAGATCAACGATTAGGCAGGGAATTGTTTAATAGTTTTTGTTGTGGTTCAATTAGATTGCCAATGAAGCAAGCCAAACAAATAAAATTTCAAGTGCTGTAGCAATTTTGTCTTTTTTTAAATGAGAATTTTCTTGCTTTTTTTCTCTGTCTCTCTGTCAAATGTTGACTTTAGTAGTAGTAATCTTTATTTATATACCGCCTTTTCACTGCAGATCTGAGTCTCAAAGCAGTTTACAATTGTTAATTTTTTTGCATTTGTCCTCTCACTCCGCACAGAGATGGGAGCGGGGCCAGTACAGGAGGCGCATGCCAGACGGCAGCCACACGGCAAAATCACGCAAACCACACACATCACACATGAACGAATTTCACCCCCGAGCATTCCCAGGAAATCTCACAAAATCTCTCAAGATCAAGCGTGACTTCAGAGTAAACAATCATGGAGGACGAAGAGGATGGAGTGACGATAGTTTGCAGTTTGTTTTTAACAGAGAAAAAGTGTTATCAAAGGAAAAGGCGATGGTCAAAGAAATGGAGACAACACGAGCATGGACTGTATATATTTATGCTTGACTGTTATGATTTTTTTACGGTGTTTCCTCGCCACCTTGTCACCTCGTCTTCTGATTGGCTACACGCTGCAGTCCACTGGCAGCATGCTCGTCTGTCCCCGGAGGACACCACACACGAGGAGAAATCGGGCCAAAACAATCCAACATGTTGAATATCCCCGATTTGAGATCGGAGCAGTCCCGAAGTCCTTCTGAGCGACGCAGTCTTAACACACCACACATGGAAAATCCATCAGATTTTTTTACAAAAATCTGAGAGTTCTTAAGATTGTCATTAGGGGTTAATCGGGTCTTAAATCGGCCTAATTCTCCTGCCGTGTGAATCAGGCTTAAGTCTTAAAACAAGATCAATTTAACCTAAAAATTCTAACCATTTTAGACATCTGTTTTTGGTCATTTCTTTCTGTTCAAAAGTGTAAAAAAGAAGTTGTTTGGAGTCCTGGTTTGTACCTGGTTGGGAGTCGCAGTAGTTAAACATTGAACCCAGGGCACAATTATCAGTAAATTATGGTCAATCAGTCTGCAATAACAAGATCTTCTTACTTTTGGTCCTGTTTTGGTTCGGTCCAAGCATGCTCTAATTTAGTTCAAGTTGAACAAACGCAAAAACAAAACAGTTAAAATGTCTACATTAAACAATTACATAAAGACAAACACATATATAGTAAATACATAATTAATTATTAGATAAATACATTATAAACGCAAGACCTTGGTATTAAGTAAGGCCTAAAAAACGGGGTACTTGTCTACTTTGCTATAGTCCTTTGTACACTAGGACTCTGCTTGATTTCCACTTTTTCAGTAGTAAATGTGTGTTTATGTTTATCTACTCTATTGGATTTCATTACATTTGTTATTTTTTGTAGTTTAAATGTGTTCGTATGTTTTTGTTTTTTACAGAAATATCTCTCACAATCCTCTGCTGCGCGTCCACTCCGCCCACTTCAGTCACCTGACACTGCTCCAGTCCCTGTAGGTGGAAGAACTCTCCTATAATGAGGTGATCTGACTTCTCTGGGACTGAACTGTGCTATTTTCAAGGGACTTGGAAGGAATTGAAATCCAGAATATTCAGACGAAGATGTTTCTCCCGATGAAGAACCTCTCCCACATGTGAGTATGTCTTCAGGTTACACACAAGATCCTTTCCACTCGTCTACATTTTATGGCCAAACAATTCCCGCATCCAGTCCCTATCTGCTCCCCTTCTAGTCCCCATCCAGTCCCCATCTAGTCCCTTTCCAGTCCCCATCTAGCCCCCATCCATTTTTCGTCCATTCCCCATCTAGTCCCCATCCAGTCTCTATCTTGTCCCCTTCCAGTCTCCATCTAGTCCCTATACAGTCCCCAACTAGTGCCCATCCAGTCCCCATGACATACACCTCCTGCATCTGCAAGGAATCCAACCCTCCAAATCCAAACCTGCATTTATATTAGCAAACTAACAATATATAAAATCAGAACGAAATATCTCCCTAAGTGTTTCTGTTTCAAATGACCATAATGCGACAGTAGCTCAGTTGGTAGAGCATTGGCCTTCAGGCCTGAAGGTTGTGGGTTCAATTCCCAACTCTACACCTTCTCCACCGACTCCCACTGATGACTGCTGTCGTTGTGTCCTTGGGCAAGACACTTAACCCCACTTTGCCCAAAAGCCCCCACTGAAAGATCAAGGCTATGCTCACACTCAGAGAGCAGCCGTCCTCCTGTGGACTCACCACCTGCAGAGGGTCAGTGAGGGGCTGGTGCTATGAGACTTGGGTGGCATTTCTGACTGCCACCCCCCTGACCCAGAAATGGATTAAAGGGTAGAAAATGGATGGATGACCACAATGCACCCAGTTAAGAGGAGCCAGTACACTAAAAATAAAACAATGTATGTACTTTACGTGCTTTTCTGTCTTACATATATAACTTTTGTTCTATAATTCCTAATGAATTGACTAAAAAAACTGCACAATCACTCGAGCACTTTAATTCCTATTCAGGACGCAGCTTTTTTCTTTGGCTTTAAATGGCTTTTGTATCATTGTGTGTTTTTATTGTTGCTGGTTTTCACTTGTCTGTCCAGCACTTACACAAGCCTAGACTGTTTTAAAAATACTTTTCGGGAAAATATTGATCCATTCTTGATTGAACGCGCCCTGAAACTAAACCTTTTCTTGTGCTTTCTCACAGTTACTTCAAGACATTCCAGTATTGCTCGTACGCCCCCCACGTCCGCTCCTGTAAGCCCAACACCGACGGCATCTCTTCGTTCGAGGACCTCTTGGCGAACATGGTGCTGCGAGTGTCGGTCTGGGTCATGGCCTTCATCACCTGCTTCGGGAACCTCCTCGTCATCGGCATGAGGTCTCTGATCCGCGCCGAGAACAACCTGCACGCCGCCTGCATCAAAGTGCTCTGCTGTGAGTCATTTTCTCTGGACTGCTTTTTTATACTTATTTGATCCCCGCGGCTTATATAGTGATGCAGCTAAAATGTGTGTGTTTTTAGTGAGTTGTCAGGGCAGAGTTTATGGACTTTATTATTTTGGCTCCATCAAGTTTTAGTAGCTATAGAACACTTGCTTATAGACCCTTCAGATGGGGAACACAGTTTTGCCCTTTTTAACCAAGCTTGGGAGAGGTGACAGGGGGGAGGGGGGAGAGAGAAGGGGTGAGAGAGAGGAAGAGAGGATGCAGAGAGAGGCAAGTTTTTATCAATCTAATTGATGAGCCCTCATACACACCTGGGTTCTTTCCATAGACTGTACATATTAACGGACGTAGTCACGCCTATCTCCGCCATTGAAACTAGTGTGACTTTTGCCGTCTGTGGGCAGTTTCAAAATGGGCTGGAAAAGGTGAAAAAATGCATTTGCGCATACGTCAGCTGATATGAGCCCCATTCATTTAACAAGTGCATTCTGAAATCCACAGCAACTAAACTAGACTGGTCCAAAAAAATACACTCCCCTCAGCATTGGCACACATCTGCTTGGCTTTGGGCCAAGGGCGACTTGTGGACCATCCTGTAAAGAGGTTTTCGAGAGGAAAGAAGATGCCATACAAAATAATTGGGTCATTCTCTCTCTGGGTACACCCCCACCGGCCCAGGGTGGTATTGCAAGCATGTCAGCGCACATCATTTTGGACATTTTTAAGCTGGGACCTGCCCCCACTGGTTCTTCCCTGGAAATAGTGCCAAAGATTTTCAGTTTCTTATGTATGTATGTGAATATTAATAGTAAAGGTGGAATGTAGTGGTCTGATTTGCTCACAACATTTTACTTTTACAAGACTCTTTCTGCCTGGTCAAACAACATGTATTATTCATGAACGAGACAAGATAGCTGCCCCAGCTTTAATATAGGTGCTGGCTTGAGTTATGTTACTAACAGACAGATGAACAAACTCTGGTTAAAACACTACCTCCTTAAAATAAGTGGCTTGCATTAACAAGGCAAGCTATACATACGTTTTGCAAAGAGCTGTAGGAATAAAGAAGAGGAGGAGAACTGGTCTGAAAGATGATTTATGACAAGAAAACTTCCAAGAGAATTCAGTCAATCTAGGGTCACATTACCTAGGAACTATTGATGGGATTTATGGGACTTAGAAAAGTAGGGAGTAAAGGCATAACCTGTACAGTGACCTTACAAATGCATTTCTCTTTTATTTATGCTTTGAAACCAAAATCCCCTTTGAGCCTTTTGCTGCGACATTGGCGTTATGGGACATTTTACTTGCAGAAACTTTTGCCAAACCCTCAGTGTGTGTGTGTGTGCGTTTGTTATCCTGCCTGTGCCTGTCCGTTGGTCTGTGTTTGTGTGTGTCTGTCTGTCTATGTGCGTTTGTCTGTCTGTCTGTCTGTCTGTGTTGTGTGTGTGAGTGTGTGTGCATTTGTGTCAAAGTGTGTGTGTGGGTGGGTTTTCCTGCCTGTGTGTGTAGGTGTGCGCCTGTCTGTGTGTGTGTGTCTGTGTATGTGCGTCTGTCTGTCTGTGTGTGCCTGTCTGTCTGTCTAGGTGTGTGTGTCTATGTATGCCTGTCTGTCTATGTGTGCCTGTCTGTCTGTGTCTCTCTCTGTGTGTGTGTGTGTGTGTGTGTGTGTGTGTGTGTGTGTGTGTGTGTGTGTGTGTGTGTGTGTGTGTGTGTGTGTGTATGTCTGTGTAGTGTGCGTCTGCCTCTGTGTGCGTGCCTGTGTGTGTGTGTCCTTCACTTTGAATCATCCCAGTTCAAGTCCATAGTCTGTCTCTTGTAGAGTCATCTGTGACGCCTGGTCTCACTTATTCATTCAGTGCAGAAATATTGGAGGAAGAGTTGGATCACTCCATGCAATATTCATAAATTGTACAAACCTTTTTGCATTGAATTTGGAATAAAATATAATCCAACCTGAAGGGACCTGAGGGCTTTTGCTGATTATTACTATTGTTAGCTTTTTAGAATGAACAATTTTATTCTTTAGTTTTTGCTGTGACTGGACACCTGAATTTCCCGGAATTACGGGGATCAATAAAGTATCTATCTATCTATCTATCTAACTAGTTCACAATTTAATGTTTCTTTAAGGACTCGACCCAAACGCAGACCGACATGGAGGAAGATAAAAACTGGAACTATGTCATAAGAATCGATCTGACTAGTTCCTGGCTCTAAAACAGATTGGTTCTATTACTAGTTTATGTATATATTGTTTTGGTCTCAGTCACACCAGCTTCTACAAACAGAAAAGTGGAAGAGAGAGGACCTCCCTAATGGGGCGTTCACACCGGACAGCTCATTAGTTCTCACCTTAAATTGTCCAACTTGGAGGAGACCCCAAAACTGACAGACCAGGAAAAAGATGAAAAATGTAATGTGACACAAAAAATACTGAATATATTGCAGAGGTGTGTGTCAATATTGAGCTATAGATCATTCACAGCCTTTTTAAAATCCTGTGTCTAAATACAGTTACTCAAAATTAATGTTCTAATCCCAATATTCTCAATAGAGGTTGTGGGTGGCACGGTGGCTGAGTGGTTAGCACTCCTGGGTTCGAATACCGCTCGGCAAAAAGGTCTTTCTGGGTGGAGTTTGTATGTTCTCCCCGTGTCTGCGCAGGTTTCTTCCAAGTGCTCCGGTTTCCCTTACCACTAAACACATGTACAGTAGGTCTGGCGTACAAAACCGTTGAATTCACCAACACACATTAGAGCAGGGGTATCAAACCGGTTCCAGAAAGGGCCACATGTGGCTGCAGGTTTTACTTCCAACAGTTCCACATGGCCCTTTCTGGAACCGGTTTGAGACCCCTGCATTAGAGAATCAAACAGTTCAAACACAAGAAATGCAATGAAAAAACACATAGAGCCTTTGGTCCATAAGGGGAAGATAACAAATGTTGAAATGGATTTTGTTTTGAATTGTATTTTGCAGCGTTCTGTTTCCTTGTCTGCTTCCTTTTGACATATCACAACATTAATACATCCCCAATAATCCAACACATTCGACAGTGTCATCGTCGCTTCCTAAAGTTTAAAATAGACCCAGTGAGTCACTATTCCTGTGATTCCACTGCTGCTTCCCACTCTACGCTCTTGCATAATATAATTGCGAGTATTTAAATAACTTTTCAGTTCGCCCTCTTTTCGTCCTGTCTTCTGATGCTTTGGTCTGCGTTTCTTATCTTGCAGGTGCAGACTGTCTTATGGGGGTATACCTCTTCTTCGTGGGGATTTTCGACGTGAAATTCCGGGGGCAATACAACCGGAACGCCCTGATGTGGATGGAGAGCGTGGAGTGTCGCACAATAGGGTTCCTGGCCATGTTGTCGTCAGAGGTAACCGGATCTCCAGGGGTTAAAGCAAAGGGTCTATTTAGTACAATGTGGGTTTGTGAGCTGGTAAAAGCTTGGTTTTTCACGACTTGTAAAAAGTTGTGCAGGTGATAAACCAAATACTGTTGTAAACCCTCAAAGGAAAAGTGTGTGTGTGTGTGTGTGTGTGTCTGTCTGTGTGTGCATGTGTGTGTGTGTGTCTGTGTGTGTGTGTGTGTCTGTCTGTGTGTGCGTGTGTGTGTGTCTGTGTGTGTGTGTGTGTGTGTGTGTGTGTATGTGCGTATGTGTATGTGTGTCTGTCTGTATCTGCGTATGTATGTCTATGTGTCTGTATGTACGTACTGTATGTATATGTATGTGTGTGTGTGTGTCTCTTTGTTCGTTTGTCTGTCTGTCTGTGCGTGTGTATGTATGTGTGTGTCTGTCTGTCTGTGTGTGTGTGTGTGTGTGTGTGTGTGTGTGTGTGTGTGTGTGCGACCGCCTTTGTCTGAATGGGTCAGTGATTCTTTGAATCGCTAAAGCTCGCTGCCTGGAGGGTGGAGCAGAGCCATATATGAGACTATTTTATCATTAGAATCTAAATGAGAAAAGATGGATCTGGCCTTTCACACTGAGCTGAGGTCCCACTGCGGTTTCTGGGAGAAAACGTTTCCTCTGATTTAGATTTAGATTCCATGAATGACAAACAGCTCTCTGCAAGCTCCTGTTTGTCAACAAAATAACACAAAACTTTGCATCTTTGAGGACTTAAAGGAAACGAATTCTGCAAAAATCAACTTAATCTATTTAAAAAACATGTTATAATCATAGACCTTAAATATTAACTTTGTTCTCTCATAAAAAAACAAACCTTGTTGTTTTTCTTCTGTCACAAATATGTAGCTCCGTCTCAGTCCTCTAATAGTGTGATGTCATTGAACCACTTTGACATGACACTGACATAGCCTTTTATGTCAGTGTGTGTGTGTGTGTGTGTACGTATGTGTGTGTGTGTGTGTGTGTGTGTGTATGTCTGACTGTCTTGTCACAAAGATGTAATGGTATGATGTTATTGAACCACTATGACATCACACTGACATTTCCTTTTTGAATGAAAATATTACCCATGGATTGGTTTTGTCAGTTTCTACTATCACATATAACAAGGTGTTTGCAGCCGGTAATTTTCAGAATATTCATTCATTCATTCATTTTCAAGCCCTTTATTTTCCATTTCTGGGTCAGGGGGGTGGCAATGAGAGCTGCCACCCAATGCTCATAGCACCAGTCCCTCGCTGATCCTCTGCAGGGGGTGAGTCCACAGGAAGATGGCTGCTCTGTCAGTGGTGAAACAGCCTTGGTCTTTCAGCGGGGGCTTCAGGCAACGTGGGGTTAAGTGTCTTGCCCAAGGACACAACGACAGTAGACATCAGTGGGAGCAATTGGAGTAGGTCCCATGGTGGGAAGCGAACTCACGACCTCCAGGCTCAAAGGCCACTGCTCTACCAACTGAGCTACTGTCGCCCCTAATTTTCAGAATAGGATAAAAAATTATAATAATAATTCTACCCCTCCCTCTGGTGGCTGCATAGAGATAGGGCAGGCTATAGCATTGTTTACTCTTGATACTAGACTCACCATGTATTTTATTTAAGATATTATTTCATAGTCTAAAACATGGAACAATAAAATGAATAGACTCTTTGTTATTACTAATTGTCAAAAATAATGCGTAATATGTCTTCTTTAAATCAAATCAATACAAGGTTGAGCTTTAGCAATAAAATGTCACAGAAGAAAGTAAGTCCTCATTGTGAAAAGTGACGTAAAGCATCTGTAACTAAAACAAAACTTTACAACATTATTATGCTGAAAAGATGACATGTTATTGGATTAGGTTACACTATATGAAGCAAAATAAAAACGGGTTAATTTTGTTTTTCTTTCAAATTATAGCCTTCAGCAAAATGAAGCATCATTTCATCACATTCTCACTTTTCCACAGATTTGACAAAGATTATCCCAGTTCTTTAACTTTTACACACTGTTTTAGCCGTTGTACTTTAAACTACACATATTCTGACTAGCCTGCAATTATTTTTTGACTCCATCCATGCAGTTATTATATTCTTAGTTAGTTTGTTAGTTGGTTAGAAACGTTGAGAATGTATGGACTTTGTATGGATGTGTTTTCTGCTGATGGACACTTGAATTTATCCTACAGGATCATTCTACCTAGCCATTTATCTTTCTATCTATCTATCCATCTATCTTATCTATCTATCTATCTACAGTATACAGCTAGCCATAAATCTATCTAACTAGCTAGCTAGCCATCTATCTAGCGATGAATCTAGCTATATCTACCTATCAATTACAAAGTTCTTCTACAAATCGGCCAAACATGTTTCCCTGTCCCTTCTGTCTGAATGTCCCATATCTCAAACTCATTATGCTAAGAATCCTGAGTATGACGTCAAGAACAAAGCTATTTTCTGCTACACAAAGTTTTGGATTTTTTTTTTTCATTGGGGGTGGACCTGGAATAAGAATTAGCCAATGCTAATGTATGGCGTCTTCTTACCTCTCAAAAACGCCTTTACAGGATGGTCCAAAAGTTGGCTCTTGGATCAACGCTAGGTTCCACATGTGTGTCAATGCTTTTTAACATCGATCTGAACATTATCAGAGGTCACAGGTTAATCTGACATGTGACATATTTGTGTTTCACAGGTTTCTGTCCTTCTCCTGACTTATCTCACTCTGGAAAAGTTCCTCGTCATCGTCTTTCCCTTCAGTAACCTGCGACCGGGGAAACTCCAGACTGGGGTGAGACACTTTTTACATCTCTCAAGATCATGTTTAAAGCTGAGGTACCTAACTTTGAACTGAACTAAATAGGTAAGGGATAATGTATAGTACGCAGGTCATTATCGGAAAATAAGTACCGACAGGGCGAAGCGGACCCCGACGCGCAGTGGAGGGGTCAGGGAGGAAGCAGCTTATTATACGGATTTGTACCAACACAACACACAAAATAAACTTCAGCCCACTCTTAGGAATGCCGAAAGGTTTATTTAATGACAGAAAATAAAATAGCTCCCAAAGGCTATGCGAGTAACAGTTAGGCTAGCAACTTCCAAACTAGAACTCTCTCGAACTGCATGAAAAAAATCAGCGATGAGTGACCCAAACATAAACTCAACCTAAATCCATTATTCGATCCTCTGCAAATGTGTCCTAAAATGTCCCTGAATCTATTTCCGGGTTTTTAGCGACCGCTTTTTCTCGCATTGAAACAGTATTTTTGTCATGAAAACCTTAACAGATACTTCTGAAAACCTCCGTGCATGAGTATTAAGAATGTATCTGTATAATGTATTCTCTGATTAACATTTAAATGTGTTGATTGATTGGTATTTGCGTTTATTGAGAGTGGCCGGAACTACTTGCGGAGTAATCTACACAACTGAATAACAAGCAGACGTTGCGTTGCCATGGGCAGCAGTCATTATTGTTTTGAGAGGTCGGTCATAAAGAAATAATGACCGGTAGATAGCGATGATCCAGGATATTTACTAACATTTATTAACCAATGACCAAAAATTAGCACTGCTGCTACAGCCTGGTCAAATGCATGTCTCGTCTCGGCTAGTGTTTATAGTACACAGTCCCTGTAAAAATAAAAATAAATTACAGCGTACCATTATTGCTGCAGGTGGTGCTGTCGTCCATTTGGGTGGTGGGCTTCATCATCGCAGCGGTGCCTTTGATGAACGAGGAGATCTTTGGGAATTACTACGGCCACAACGGGGTCTGCTTCCCGCTGCACTCGGACCGGCAGGAGAAGCCCACCGCCAAAGGGTACTCCATCGGGATCTTTCTCGGTAACTGCCATATTATTCTCATGTGTTTGTGCCTCTTCTTTCTACTGGCCAACATCATGCATTTGAATTTGAACTTGTATTAGACAATAGTTTTATATTTATACTGACAGAGAAGATGTGGAACTTTGTGATCTGATCAGGGATTAGAGAGATGTTGGCTCTAAACCAGGAGGATCAAACTCATTTTGGTCAGGGGCCAAATAATAAAAACAGTAACTGGTCGCCCGACCATTAACATTAACATTATTATAAATGTTTATGTTAAGAAGGTATTTGACATTCTCTATTATTTTCTGGTTAGATTTTGGATTGAACTAAAACTGGAGCATAATTTTTTTTTATATTTAACTCTTTAACTTTGTTGGGTTAACATTTTAGAATTAAATAAGATGCCACAAGTTAATAATAAAAATTGAAAATCCTTTTAGGGGCTACTAAAAATTGTCTTGCAGGCCGGATTTGGCCCACGAGCCTGAGTTTGACATGCCTGCTCTAAACTGGACTTCTGACTTTTGACACTTACATAATCACCAGGAGAACCACACCAAACCACAGTCTCTTTGTGATGTCGCATGAACTGTTTTCCTGCAGGCCTGAACTTGGTGGCGTTCCTGCTGATCCTCTGCTGTTACTCCAGCATGTTTTACTCCATCTACAAAACGGGAATCAACGCCACGGACCTGAGGAGCCGCCTGCACAAGGACGTGGCGGTGGCAAACAGGTTCTTCTTCATCGTGTTCTCTGACGCCCTCTGCTGGATCCCCATATTCTTGGTCAAAATCCTGTCTCTGCTGGAGGTGGACATTCCTGGTATGACGCAAACATAGAAGAAGAAAAACATAGCATTTACTGTGACAAGACACTAAAACGAGAATTGTGTCTTATTCAATACTTGACTAATTGTTGAAAATCTAGTCTTTTTTACGGCAAGGAAAGGCAAGCTTATTTGTATAGCACATTTCATGCACAAGGCAACTCAAAGTGCTGAACAAAACCGAATCTCACGAAGCCCTAAAATCATTAATAATCACAGTACATTAAAAATTGTAAATATACAGTCTTTCAGTTGTATGCAGCTAAGCAACTTTTTTAACTTGGATTTTAACATTGTCAGAGTGGAAGCCTGTCTCACATTTTTAGGACGATGGTTAGAGATTTTAGCTGCATGAATCTGAAATGCAGCCTCCTCATGTTTAGTCCTGACTCAGGGCACCAGCAGGAGGCCAGTCCCTGTGCTCCTCAGAGTCCCAGCAGGAGACCAGTCCTTTTGCGCCTGCTGGAACTCAAAAATAATATGAAAGATTTCTTCTGTAAAACTGTTGAAACTCAATTCAATTCAATTCGATTACATTTATTTTTTCACAGCCCTGAATCACAACAGTAGAAACTCAGAATCAAACTAAAAAAAAATGCAATGATAAAAAACACACAGAGCCATTAGTCCAAAAGGGGCAGATGACCAATGTCCATAAATGTCGTTAAATGTCCTGGATCATCACCACTGTTATTATATTCATTTACAGCATTTACAGCTAGCTAAGAAACATAGCAGCTACTTACTTATTTTGTGGTCGGCACTAGATCATAAACGGAATCAGGACGGAAGCGGAAGTAAATATAGCCAACTACCTAAACTAATAGATCCATGCCTAAACTTACCCCAACCCACCCTTAACCCTAACCATAACCATCTTACTCAGACACCTACAACGTAACCAGTCACCACTTAAGGACATATTAGTCTAAAACTAATTCGAAAGTAGGATTGTTACTTCTGCTTCCGTCCCAATTCCGTATATGATCTAGTGCCGACCCTTATTTTGTGTGCTCCCTGTGTGCTTACTACTGTCCTCTATGTGCGCTCCAACATTTTCCCACTATCTTATCTGATTACATTCCCCGTCTCTCTTCTCAGGCACCATTTCCAGTTGGGTGGTCATCTTCATCCTGCCCATAAACAGCGCCCTGAACCCCATCTTGTACACCCTGACCACCAGCTTCTTCCGGGAGCAGGTGGAGCTGCTGCTGTGCCGCTGGCAACGCAGGCACATCCTAAAGAAGGACAGAAAGAGCCTCACCTCCTCCACAATATTCATGGAGGCTCCGCGAGGATGCTACCAGCCCCCGGCCTATCTGCAGCAGGTGTCATTGACTGGTGACCCCCGCTATGCCTGACCTAATGGTACGATCCGTCATTTTATACGTGAACAGACATATTTCCACGCAGTCGCTCGGGGTAGTTTTGGTTAGGGCCGGACCATAGACTGTATATTTGCTCCCATGGTGTTAGCCTTGATGCGGAAGAGGCTGATTTGAACATACAGTAAGATAGCTGGAGCCAATTTCCTTATAAGGGCATTTCTTCCGCTGCGTTAGCTTTTCTTTGTAGTAACAGGGAGAAGATGGTGGCTAAGGCAAGATGGAGTTTCCACGCAAATTAAGGTTTTTTGGTCAATCCTTGTATGAATTTACCAACACATTATCACAATGTAAACACCAGGATTATAATTAGTTAAACCACAGATTATTTTCAAACCCAAGATGGTGAATGTGACACAAACGGTTACTGAGCTACAGGAGTTTACTTTTCAATGTAAGTCAATAGGAGCCATAGTGGATCAAAACTTTATCTATGAGCACTTCCCTATTGGGCTCCTTTGAGCTAGAGCAGAGGTCAGGAAACTATGGCTCGGGAGCAAGATGTAGCTCTTTTGATGATTGTGTGACCAAGAATGTTTTATATTGAATTTCTTCAGTCTGAAATCTTATCCATTTGGAGACTAATTACACTCTAAAATCACACATATTCACAATGAGAAATGTGTATGGGTCTGTCAGCTAAAACAGTTCCTGACCTCTGAGCTAGCATCGTCCAACTATATACAGTCTATGGGCCGGACTTCCTCCAACATAGGGTTATAATGCAAAAGTTACAGCTGGATGATCACACCGGACTAACTTTACTGCAATGAATGTATTTCATTAGAGGCGACGTACAGTATGTGTTTGGACAAAGGTACATGTTTCCGGTGCTAAGCTAATATGCTAACAGAAAGGTATTTATTTATTTATTTATTGATTATAGATAGATAGAAAGATAGATAGATAGGCACACAGACAGAAAAAGAGACATACAGAGAAATAGATAGATAGATTATTTATTTCAAATTTAGAGATCTATCAAATATATTTTCACATACATCCACAAAAACACTCCAAGTAAAACATTTGAAAATTTGGGTTGGATGAAGCGAAAGCTATATATATACTTCTTCAACCAAAATTTTTGACTTTTTAGGCTATTTTTTTTATTTATTTTTTTGTATTTTCTCCGTTTTTTTTGTTTTCTATTTAGAGTTAGATTAGCATAGCACCAGCCTCCTTAAAGCACTTCTTAAAGTCTTTTGTTTGGTTTGTTTTAAAGTTGCCAAAGATGTAACCAAGAGAACTAGTGCAACAACACAACAGCAGTAAAACTATAGACTGTGGAAGGAGTGGACTTTGCTGACGTCACCCAACGGTTTTTGCTTATTTTAGAAGGAGACGAGTAGAGCCAACTCAAACAGGCTCCATGGACGAGAATATGGAGCCAAATTTGTGGGTAGCAACGACCTAGCAACCAAAGAGCCAATCAGAAGCAGCACTGGTCTGTCTCCTCTTGCACTATTAGCTGAGAAGGCACATAAGTCAGTTTTTCTGGGTCATATCTGTTTTTACAAAGACAATCTCAAAATAAAACATATTTCTAGTGCAATTTGTGAATGTACAGTAAGTACTTCTAGACCAGCACTGACCATAAACCAGTCATTTTAAATTCTTACTGAAACTTGCAGCATGGATCATAATTCAGTTAAATTCCCTTATTATTCTATATCCCTAAATCACAACACAAGTCGTCTCGGAGGACTTTACAAAGTTTTCAATGTGCCTTCAACAGATCAGAGAACACAGGAAATGCAATTATGACAAACACATACAGTAGGAGCCAATGGTCCATATGACAGATAACCACTGTCCATAAATGTTAATAAATGTCCATAGATGTTAATACATTTTCCTAAATGGGTTATCATCACTGTCCTTAGACCCTCCTGCATCGGCAAGGAACAAGATGCCAAAGATTAGCTTCAAACACACTTGTCCACAACAAAAAACATTGGAAATCTTGGAATAAAAGTGTAGCCAAAGTTGTGGCCCCAATAAGAAATGTATTTAGCAGTAATTCTATCCACAGTCTATGGTTCTCCTTCTGGTAGCTTCTCCTGACTCCTGCTTGAAACCCAAAAAAGTCAGAGACCGTGTGATCATCCCACTGTACCTCACAATTTTCTTGCATTTTGCGCTGATTATGACGAAGGAAATCCAAACTCCAGGTCCTCACCTCTTCTAACTTCACCGACCGGCTGCGTGAAAACACCTCTCCACGCTCCGACAAACACCCCAAGCAAAAAAATCAACCAGCTGTCACCAAGTTTGCATGTTGCTTCGGACATTGCTTTGAGGAGAAGAGAAGCAGAGAGCGACATCCAAACATCCAAGAAGAAGCCATCATTGATCCGTCAGAAACAACCGAAAACATTCATTTCAGGTGTGCAAAAAATGGTTTTTAAAGTCTCCCTGAAGAGAAAAAGGGGGGGGGGGGGGGGGATCTTTACTTTACTGCACAGACTGTTTCAACTTTTGGCTGAGATCAGGTTTACAGTAATTATGTTTTTTGTACTTAAAACTTTCACAAATGTAGCTATGATGAATGTATTGTTCTGTTATTGATGTGTTGCTGAATTAAATATGCTACAGACTCATGTGTTTTTACTTATGTTTCTGCAATACCCTAAAAACAATAAGTATATTCTAGTTTCTGCTAGACCTTCAACTACTATACTCTACTCTTTTTGAGATTAGCCTAACTGACCAGCGAGAGAGACCAGAGAGAGACCAGAGAAAGAACAGAGAGAGAGACCGGAGAGAGACCACAGAGAGAGACCTGAGAGGGACCACAGAGAGAGACCTGAGAGAGACCAGTACGTTTTAGTACGTTAGTACGTTTTTATTTATATACCGCCTTTTCACTGCAGATCTGAGTCTCAAAGCGGTTTACAATTGTTAATTTTGGGCATTTGTCTCTCACTCCACACAGAGATGGGAGCAGAGTCGCCAGTACAGGAAGCGCATGCTAGAACTATTGGACATATTTTTAGTGGTAGGGGAAACCGGAGTACCCGGAGGAAACCTACGCAGACACGGGGAGAACATGCAAACTCCACTCAGAAAGGCCCTGGTCCGACCGGGATTCGAACCCAGGACCTTCTTGCTGAGAGGCGAGAGTGCTATCCACTCAGCCACCGTGCCGCCCGACCAGAGAGAGATCATAGAGTGAACAGAGAGAGAGACCAGAAAACCTCACTCACAAAAGGACAAAAAGAGTTGACACACCAGAGAGAGACCACAGACAGTGAGACTTTGAAGGAGACCCGAGAGAGAGAGAGACTAGAGACCGGAGAGACACCAGAGAGAGATCATAGAGTGAACAGAGAGAGAGAGACCAGAGAACCTCACTCACAAAAGGACTAAAAGAGTTGACACACCAGAGAGAGAGAGAGAGAGAGAGAGACTGGAAGGAGACCAGAGAGAGAGAGACCGGAGAGACACCAGAGAGAGATCATGGGACCAGAGAGAGAGAGAGAGACCAGAGAACCTCACTAACAAAAGAGAGAGACCACAGAGAGAGAGAGACCAGAGAGACTGGAGAGAGAGAAAAGAGAGAGACCGGAGAGACAACAGAGAAAGACCATAGAGGGACCAGAGAGAAAGAGAGAAACCAGAGAGAGACCAGAGAACCTCACTAACAAAAGCTCTAAAAGAGACGTCACATTTCAAAGCAGTTTAAATTTCATTAACAGTTTGAACACAACCACACGTCATATCCCTACAAAGCAAGCTAACAAATCGTGACCATATTCTGTACCAGGAAGTGCCGGCTAATAACAAAACACAAAGATATTACATCATTATTCTTTTTTAGTTTTTCTATAATTAAAGCATAGGATATTTCATTTTGAAGTATTATAATGTTTTGATATTATTATTGAATACTATATGGCAATTTTCCATCTTTCTGAGCTCCATAGTTCAGTGTATAATGTAGTGTAGCTTTCATAACGTGCCCCTCCAGACGACAGAAGGATTAGTCCATCTCTCATTGGCCGCCAGCAGCTGTTCCAACACACTCTCTGCACAGCCGCTCTGACATTTTTCCAAGAGCAGACTCAAATCTTTCTGCTTTAGCTTTCTTTATAGTCACAAAGTCTAATCTGTGTTGGTTGTTGGATGGTTTTGTACATGTAGCAGTTAAAAAAATCCCTTGTCTATTTTTAATGCTTAAAATTTCACCTAACCTGGATTCTGAATAAGAAAAAGCACAAATGCTTTCCAATGCAGTGGGAGGATTAATGATGCCAGTAATATCCGAACAAATAAATATGTATATTATTAAATAGATAAAGGGATATCAGACTGGATACATAGTTGAAGAAGTTATTAAACCGGTGAAGTCTGGGAAGCATCTCTGTGTAATAGAATCATACAGGGTTTATACAGGGTCTGTTTGTGTCTTTTCTAACAGTGGCATTCGTCTTGTCCAATAAGAAACCCAGAACATTGACTGATTAACAAAAAGAAACATGTAACTACAAGGAGAAGTACGATCTTGTCAAACATTTACAGAAGACAAGTCGGCATTTCTGGTGGTCAGAAGGTGTAGCTTTTCTTCTATTATTGGCCTAAATTTGGACATGTTTTGAGATTTGTTCACAACATTTCACATTTTACAAGACTGTTTCTGTTGGGACAAACAAAATGTGATAATTAAGAATGAAATGAAGATTAATATTAAGATTAAGATCCTTTATTTTTTCCATCGTGGGGGTATGTCAGTGTTGCATCACAAGTTAGAGAACAGTAGAAGGAGGAGCACAGCACAAGATGAGTGAATATTATACAAAGCAAAACTATACTTGAATGGAGAAAAAAATCTCTACTTTTAGCATAAAAAAGAAGCGAGACTTAGTAAATACTGCATCCTCGAGTGCAAGAAATAAATACTTGTTTATGAGCTGCAGAGTGAGCTGCAGAGTTAGAAGGTGCCGACTCTGACGACAGCTCTGGGTCAGTCTGCATTCTCAGTGAAGGCCTCACATCTGTGGAACTCTTTGCCCCTGGAGCTGAAGTCACAGTCGGACATTAGCCTTTTCTCCACAAAACTGAAAAAGTGGCTCAAGGACAATCAGAAGTGTGAGCACTAAAACTGGATGGAGTATGGACAAATGGGGTCAGTTATTATTAGTTTTGATGTGTTTTTTTTCTCCCCTCCTTTGAAAACTGGTTTTAATCCTTTCTGTTCTCCAAAAGCCTAACCAGGGACGGGGGTTGCAAATTAATCTTTGGTTATAAGCCCTACTTGACATCAGTAACCAATGGGTGGCAATGTTTCTTTTTGTACTGTCTGTGTCAAATAAATAATAAATAAAATCTGAAGATAAATCTGTAGTGAAAAAATATGTATAGGCTAAAAGTAAAGTGCTAAAAGTAAAATGACAGTGGCGCTGCCCCACGCACACCTCCGTCCAGCATCACCTCTCCAGCAGGTGCCTTTCTCCAGTGCGAGCTTCTCCCTTAGCGACACCGTGACTGACAGCCGCGCGAACCAATCAGCGCCTCCGTCTGCCTCCGTTTGCGCATACTCGGCTCCTGATTGGTCTCTAGGGGCGTGGCCAGCCATCGCAGAGCCTCCGCCGCGACTGGAAGCCGAGACAGACGAGACCAGCGGATGAAAACAAGGCATTTAACCCCCAAAACGGAGACTACTTCTGGCGAAATGGCGGTTTAGAGACCTGGACCCACGCTGTTAAGGTACGCAGGGCTTGGTTTGGCTCTACAAGTGGGCCTTTGCTGTTTTTGCGCGCAATGGTGTGATACAAAGACCAGCGGCTACTATCCAGTTAGCTAGGATTGTAAAAGACCTGGTAATAGTGGTATTAAAGAAAAGATGGCTAGCTTGGGTTAAATTTCTCGTTTCCTTGGATGCATTCAACAAACCCCAGCTTGTGTTGCATTGTGGGTGCATTTCGAAGCCAGGCCATGGTTTGAGCCAAACAGGGGCGCGTATTGTTGCAGGGAAAATAATGAATTTGGTGGCGATGCTGATGATAATGATGATGATGGCGCTGAGGGTGATCAATGTTGGCTCCTTCCAAACAAACGGGTGAGAAATGTGATACAAAGCCACATAGAAGAAGATCCTACTACTACAGCAGCTGAGCGCACGGTGTAATTATTAATGAATGGGCAAGACAATGGGGAAATTGAAGGAAGCTAGATCTATAGGCAAGGCACGGCAAGTTTATTTGTATATAGCTCAGTTCATACACAACTGCTAGTGCTTAACACAGATAGGAACATTCTCACAAGGCATTGACATCATATTACATTCAAAAGAGTAAAGATACAATCCTACAGTTGTATGCACAGCTAAACAGAACTGTTTTTAACCTGGATTTGAACATTGTCAGAGTAGCAGCCTATCTCACATTCTCAGGAAGACTGTTCCAGATTGTATTTAGACGGTGTACAGCGATATTAAGATGAAAGGTAATTCTGCACCAGATTATAGTTAGACAAATCATTTCCACCTGCAGTCCCCGGTTACTTCAAGAAATGTTAATCAAATTACAATATTAGCAAATAGCATATCTTTTTGGCCGCATACATTTGAAAGGCTGTCTCCCCAAGTTTAGTCCTGACTCTGGGCACCAGTAGGAGGCCAGTCCCTGTGCTCCTCAGAGTCCCAGCAGGAGGCGAGTCCCTGTGCTCCTTAGAGTCCCAGCAGCCATGGAGAGACTTTAGAGCTGCTCTAAAGTCTATTCTCCACAGGGAATAGATCTATTGTAACATCTTAATATTGAGTAATCTAAGTAATAGCTCAATAGAAAAAGTGCTGCTGTTTCCAAAGAGAGTCTTGGCTCTGACTCAACCCTGATAAATATTTTGGTAGCATATGTATAATTTAGAACCATGTAAAGTTCATCATCAGAGTTGGCAACTCCAAGATGACCTTTATTCAGTTGTTTTCAGATCAGCTTTATTCTAACTTTTGGGGTTGTCCTCATTTTGGTTTGTTAGTGTCTCGTGAAGCAGCCGCCGAGGTGCACTTGAGCGGTGTTCCCGTTTTAATTTTTAATTCCAGGCTTTTACACTATAGCTTGTGTTTTGTGGGTACATTTTACTGGGTTTTTATGCCGTTGTGTTAAAGAATCAGTCGCAGAAATAAAATGGTCCATACAGTTTTATCATTCATCTGAATATTTAACACGTGAACTCCCAGAGCAATTTCAATCAATATTTATTTGTATATATTTTTTTTTAAATAGCCTAGGCTCATCAAAGTGCTGTACAGACAAGTGAAAAACAGCAACAATACAAGAACAATATATATATTTTTTTACAAATAAAATAAAAATCGGTGACTTCAATACTTAACTCATGCACATTTTAGTCTTCCTAACATTGTAACTTTTTCCCTCTGTAGTTTATCTGTAGTTTATTTCTTTGTGAATATTTTGTATTAAATTATCTTTTACTTTTGAAATGAGAGAAATTCTACTTTTACCTCCCAGAGTAGAGCCAGTACCACTAGTTACCATAGCAACACAATGTTTACTTGCTACCAGTTAGCATTAGCCTGTCAACAAACTGCTTTTTGCTATACTTCAAGTTATCATAACCAGTTTTAGCACCTAATAAAGGTAAATAAAACGTGCTTTTATTACATCTACATCAAGTAACTTAAAATGTTTGCGTAAATTCCATTGGTTTGAATGGAGCAGTCAAAATGAGGGTTCAGGGAGTTTTAATAGTTTCATAATTCTGGGAGTCCTAGTGATAAAAGCTGCACAAATGTCCTCCCTCTCTCCCCCTCTCTCCCGTCCCTCCCTCTCCCTCCCCCTCCTGTTCTCATTCATAAAGGCCGTCTTGTCGTTCTGCAGCTGTTTGCTCTGACCACTCACTCAGCGACCGCGACCCACTTCACTCCATTGTGGAAACCAGAGTTCATTTAAACCTCTTGAAGGGGATATGATTTTATAATTTGGACTCTATCGGTGAAATTACACTGACTAGTTTGGAAGGAAAATGGGGAAATATATTGACACACACAATAATATGGAATGTCAGTTTTTATCCTAAATTATCTTTTTATTTAATTTCATTATATATGATATCATCCAAGTTATTTGTAATTTTTCAGGAAGTAAAATAATAAATTATAAAAAATGTAGTCTCTATGAGCCTTACACGTGTCGTATATGACTCGTCACGTGGCTCAATGTTAGTAATTGAACGTGTAAGCTTATGTTATGACCATGTGTGATGTGTGAGTAACACTTCCGCCTCTGACCTGGAGGGGGCGACATTGTACAGCATCAGTGCAGAGAGACACCTGCAGCACTAATGGTCCCAGATTCTCCTCAACCCTAACCCTAACCCTGAATTCAGAGACAAACTAATCTGATTTTATGTACAAATGAAATAGGTTCTAACTTAAGAGTTCAGAGACAGTGAAACCATTAAACTGCTTTACATGTTATTGTTATTACTGCATTATTACATCCATCTGATATTCTGTCATTCACTAGTCTTTACCTGCTGATAATATTACTGATGTTTATTCTGCTCATATTCTCCGCTGTTTATGTACAAAATACACATCTGCAAATAGTTCTGAACCAAGTGCAATTATAGCTCCAGAGTTTATTTTATTTTATTCTATTATACCATCTTATTATTTTATTATCTTAGAATATACTCTTCCTGCATTCATTTCATTTTTTTGCGGTTTCTCATCTTCACAAATTCATTCTTGCAGTGGTTAATTTAAATCAAACTCTGGTTTAACTTGGGACAAACATTATAGAACTCAACAGAAACAAGATAAAATGTGGTATTTGTTTTTCGCTGTTTACGAAATGACAGAACAATGTCATGTTTTGTGGTACAGTAAAAGTCCCCACAGACAGGTCCTGAACGGGAAAAAAGTGAGAAACCCCATATTGAGAGAGGACCCACTCCCACACACAGATAGGCTACAGATCCAGGACTCAAGCTGTAACTTATGAAGCCAAAAAAGTCAGATACCTCAGCTTTAAATGCATCTGCATTCTGCATCTGTGAGCAGGACAGAGCTGCCACAGGAAACGTGCACAAAGCCATAGATTGTATTGAAAGTGATTTATTGACGTTTGGCTGTTGAACAATAGAACCATGGCACCACACTGTGTAATGCGTGTGCAAACTGTTGACCCCGACTGGTCCCAGAGCAGAACCATCTTCACAAACACACAACACGACAAAGACGACGTGTCTGTGTCTGTGTGTCATCAGTGAAACACAACTTGAGTCTTATTATTATTATTATTAGAAACTATAAACACCGCTTTCACTGGCGTTGACTCAGCTCAGAGAATACAATAGCTGGATTTATTGAATAAACCAGGTCATGTTGCCGTGACAACTTTCTCTACCTGTTGTTTTTGCAGCACTGAATCTTAACAGTGTTGATGATCCAGGACATTTATGGACATTTATGCACATCTAAGGGCATTTATGGACATCTAAGGACATTTATGGACATTTAAGGACATTTATGGACATCTGACATTTATGCACATCTAAGGACATTTAAGGATATTTATGGACATCTAAGGACATTTATGGACATCTAAGGACATTTATGGACATCTAAGGACATTTATGCACATCTAAGGACATTTAAGGATATTTATGGACATCTAAGGACATTTATGGACATTTAATGACGTATGTATTTTTATTAACATTGATGGACATTGGTCATCTGCCCCTTAAGGACAGAAAACTAAACTAACATTATGACTTGACCAGACTCTTGCTGTTGGTCAAGCTACAAGTGTTATTTATGAACAAGAAAAAGATTAAAGATGCTTTATTCGTGCCACAGTGGGGAAATACCAGTGTTGCATCAGAAAATCTCTGATTTTAGCATAATAAAGAATCAAGTATAAAATCTCGACTTTAGCATGATAAAGAATCCAGTAACAAATATAAAATACTGTATTTGTTAGTGCAAGAAAAAGTGAGGTACCCCAGCTTTAAAGAGAACCAGTGTGAACGTGGCTCGTTCCTCAGGTTGGTATTGAACCGCCTCCAGTTTAGGTGCACAGGAGGCTTGTGTCTGTTTATTTTTCTAATGTCCTGGGGACCTTACTGTAGGCGTCCAAATAGAAAGCGTTCAACCCATAAAGCAAATATTGTCACTTATGTAACTGTATGACTGACAACCTCTAATATTATACATTATTGTGTGTTTGTTTTGCCCTATGAATACACACAGTAGATCAGACAGGTCCAAACCAAGGCTTAGGGGCCAATTGCGGTCCGCTGTGTCACTTCCTGTGGCCCTCTGCTTTGCTAACAAGATTACACAAAAATATACACAACAAATGTAATGTATTTGATATTCATGGTAATGTGAAAATAAATAAATAAAATATTAGCCATTTCAATCATAAACATCCATCCAACTTCATCTCCACCAACACGGCCTTTTTATACCTCAGTGTAAAGCTCAGGACCCCTCAAGTCTGACTTTGTTTGACTATTTTACCGACATGTATTTGTGATCATGGCACAAAATAGCATACAGTTTATGACTCAGCTCCGTCAATAGTGAATCATTGTGGTAGAAGCAATGCAAGTTTATTTGTATAGCACAGTTTATACACAAGGGTACTCCAAGTCC